AGAACACTGATACTAGATTTGGTTGCATGGATAAGACTGCATAGTCAGTAGAAGCAGAATGAAATTAAAATCCAGTCTTCTAGCTCAAGACAAAGGCCCTTCCCCAAACCACATGGCATCTGCTGCCCCACACATTAGCTCCGGGCTGCCACCCAGAGCCATGGTTCCCCGCTCTATAAATTAACATTCCACCCTCCCTATAAGGACCTGCTGGAAGACTGCTTTGTCCATGGACTTTCCTGTTCGCAGCCAGACTCATCCCTCTGCTTGAGGAAGTTTGGGTTTGCAGTGGCCACGTGTAGAGGGGTGAATGTGTGTGCATGCTAATTTGCTTCAGTTGTGTCCGACTCTTTGGGACCCAGTGGACTGTAGCCCGCCAGGTTCCTCTGTCCATGGGATTCTCTCCAGGCACAAATACTGGAGTGGGTTGCCCTGCTCTCCTCCAAGGGATCTTCCCAACCCAGGGATCAAATCTGGGGTGTGGGTGAATAGTGTCCCCCAAATTCATGTGCGATCAGAACCTCGGAAGATGACCTTATGGAAATACTGTCTTGGCAGATGTAATTAAGTATCTTGATGGGGTCATGGTGGATTTAGAGTGGATCCTAACTTGTCCTTTTGAGAAGAAAGGAACCCAGAGACAGAGGGAAGGAGCCGTGTGAAGACAGAGGCAGAGACAGGAGTGATGTGGACACAGCCAAGGAATGGCAGGAACCACTGGAGGCTGGAGGAGGCAGAGAAAGATTCTCCCCTAGAGACGCTGCGGCGAGCGAGACCCTGCTGACAGCTTGATTTCAGATATCTGGCCACCAGAATTGAGAGAAAATCAATGTTTCTTGTTTTCACCCACCAAGTTTGTATGATTTATTTTGACCACCCTGGGAAACCAATACCCCAGTATTACAGGTATTTGAATCCACACCTGCCCTTCAGGAAAGGTGCCTCATTCCAGCTAGCACGGGGCCTTCCCTAGCATCCTGACACTCGGTGAGCTTGTAAACTCCTAGGCTGTGCTGAGACAGTGAATGTCCCCTGGCTGCTCTCTGTCACTTGTTCTGCTGCTCAGAGTTCCAGTGACTGGGTCTGGGTTTCTCAGCACAGGGTGTGTGCCCACCCAGCCCCAGAGACGTATGAATCTAACAGAGCTGGATGCTACAGTTCCCAACCAGCACCCCAGATTCTCCATCTGCTTGTTATGACTTGCATCTGAGAAACGCTCTCAGGATTCTCATAAAATGTTCTTCTAGGTGGACTTAAAATTTCCCTTCAGAAACTCCCCTGTTCCTTAGCTCTTCTAAGCCTCAGTCATCAAGGAAACATGTTATTCTGAGCCCAGATCGGGGTTATTCTAAAGATGTATCTCTCAAGAACCTCTAGACTCATATCCACCCCTTTTGAGATCAGCTGTTTTGTTAAAACAGAAGGGAGGAAGGAAGCACCTTCTTAGACCACAGAGCCCCAGGAACAGCAATTTCCCCTGAGACCATTGATTGTCTCCAGAGAGGTTAAGGGGAGTTATGGAGGCTGATTCAATGGGGACTCGTGGTGAGAATCAGTGCATTCCATGTATCATAGTTCCATTGGCTAGAGGGAAGAGGACCAGGAAAACTTAGGTTGCAAACAAGTTCTGAGCAATAGAAAAAATTCTAGAAGCACATTTAAAAGGAGATTTTAGACACTGGCACTGTTCACAAGTAAACCTCATCACAGTTTGCAGAGACACACTGCTGTGCTGTTATAATTAACAGGCATCCAGGTCTTAACATCTGGGAATAATGCACCAAAATTGCATTATCTCAGTGCATTGGATTTTTGTCATTGTTACATTTTGTTTATATGTTGTTAATACAGAATAACGTGTACATTTGTTAGTGTGCAATATTAACAAATAAAAACAATATCTGTCCCTAGTTGAGTGCTTACTAGGGAGTAGAAAGGCAATGGATAAAGTGGTTTATGTGTATGTGTTTGCTCTGGAGGTTATGACAAAATGCCATAGGCTCAGTGACATAAACAATATTATTTCTCACTCTTCTGGAGGCTGAGAACTTCAAGATCAAGTTGCTGGCAGACGTGGGTTTTGGTGAAGGCCCTCTTCCTGGTTTGTAGACCACAGCCTTTTCTCTGTATCCTTGTTTGAGTTCTCTTTTCTTCTTATAAGGGCACTAATCCTATTCTGGGGGCTCCACCCTCAAGACATCATCTAAAAGTAATCATTTCCCAGAGGCCCCACCTCTCAATACTTTCATGTCGGGGGTTAAAGGCTTCAACATATAAATTTTGTGGCAACACAAACTTTCAGGCTATAGAACATTATTCTTTTTTTAACCTCTGAAACAGATCTTTGAGGAAAGTTTGTGCATTTTGCAGGTAAAGAAAGTAAGGGTGAGAAAGGTTGAATTTGCTTGCTGAGGGTCACACAGGAAGTGGAGGTGATGTGAGCACAGGTCTGGGTGGCCATTGCCCAAGGGTCATTCCGTAGGTAGCAGGTATGCGACACCTCCCTTTCCCTCGTCCATGGGAGGCATTGCTAACGAGCATGGTGCTTTTTTCTTGATGAGCTCTGATGTCCTACCACCCTTTTCAGCCCAGCCCTCCAAGCAGTCAGAATTAATCAGCTGGAGTTGGTGTCGCCACAGGAGATGCAAACTCCTTGCTCTCTTTCGGACACAACGCTTTCCATCTTGGTGTGATGCTGGTCCATTGCACTCAAGCCAGAAGTATTATATTAGCTGCCACAGTGGGGAAGAGGTAGGGCTAGGGAACTTTTAAATGCAATGGAATATTGCTCAGCCATAAAAAAGAACACATCTGAGTTAGTTCTAATGAGGTGGATGACCCTAGAGCCTATTATACAGAGTGAAGTAAGTCAGAAAGAGAGAAAGAAATATCGCATATATATGGAATTTAGAAAAGTGGTACTGATGAACCTGTATGCAGGGCAGCAATGGAGACTCAGATTAGAGAAGGGACTTGTGGACACAGTGGGGAAGGAGAGGCTGGGATGAACTGACAGAGTTGCACTGAAACATATATGTTATCCTAAGTATAATAGATATCCAGTGGGAATTTGCTGGATGACTCAGGGAACTCAAACCCAGTGCTCTGGGACATCCTCGAAGTGTGGGATGGGGAGGGAGATGGGAGGGAGGTTCAAGAGGGAGGAGACATATGTATACCTACAGCTGATTCATGTTGATGTATGGCAGAAACCAAACACAATATTGTAAAGCAATTATCTTCCAATTAAAAATAAATTAAAAACTTAAAAAATTTATTTAATTTTGGCAAGAACATTTAATATGAGATGTACCCTCTCAGGGCTTTCCTGGTGGCTCAGAGGTTAAAGCGTCTGCCTGCAACGCGGGAGACCTGGGTTGGATCCCTGGGTCGGGAAGATCCCCTGGAGAAGGAAATAGCAGCCCACTCCAGTATTCTTGCCTGGAGAATCTCACGGGCGGAGGAGCCTGGTAGGCTACAGTCCATGGGGTCGCAAAGAGTCGGACACGACTAAGTGACGTCACTTTCACTTTCACTTCATACCCTCTAAACAAAGTTTTGAGTGTACAATATAGTATTGTTTACTATAAGGACAGTGCTATACAGAAGATCTCCCAGAGCTAATTCATCTTGCTTAACACAGCATCTTGAAATGTGGCCAGCATTCAGGTGGACTAACACCTTCCTCCTCCACGTGGGGCATCAGACTCTGGGCACCTTTGCCTGCCCCACAATTCAGCTGAGCGGGAAGGCCAACAGGTATAATACAGCCACCCCAACTCTGGCGGCCTCAAAGGCCACGTACAGAGCCTGGATCCACTTCTCCACCCGCCTCTCTTCCTGGCTGATGCCCGCTGCTGTCCTAATGTGGAGGGAGGGGATGGGGCTTCAGAGTGAGGTCAGGTGGCCTTTGACTCTCGCATCTGCTGCTTGCTAGCAGTGTGCCCCGGACACCTCATCTAATTTCTTTCAGCAGTGGTCTCTTCATTTTATTTAATTTTTGAATTTTTTTTCCTAAAAAAGATTTATTTACTTATTTTGTCTTTTGACGACAGTGGGTCTTTGTTGGTGCTTGGGTTTTCTATAGTTGCAGCGTGAGTGAAAGTCGCTTGGTCGTGTCTGACTCTTTGCGATCCCATGGACTATACAATCCATGGAATTCTCCAGGCCAGAATACTGGAGTGGGTAAGCCTTTCCCTTCTCCAGGGGATCTTCCCAACCCAGGGGTGGAACCCAGGCCTCCCGCACTGCAGGCGGATTCTTTACCAGCGGAGCCGCCGGGGGAGCCCACAGCTGCAGCGAGCAGAGGCTACTCTCCAGTTGTGACGTGTGGGCTTCTCATTTCGCTGGCTTCTCTTGTTGCGGAGCTCGGGCTCTAGGGGGCTCAGGCTTCAGCAGTTGCAGGGCAGGGGCCCAGTAGCTGTGGCTCTCTAGAACACAGGCTCGGTAGCTGTGGCCCAGGGCCTAGGTTGCTCTGCAGCACGTGGGGTCTTCCTTCTCAGACCAGGGATCGACCCGGTGTTCCCAGCATTGCGAGGTGGATTCTCAACCACTGGGCCACCAGGGAAGCCCAGCCTCTTCATTTTACAATGAGGTCATCATGAGGACTGGGCGTGATAATAGGAATACAGTGATCTTGGCAGCTGATGGGCACTCGGTAAATGGAAGATACACATTTCAGCTGTGACTGCTGACCGTTACTTTCTCTCTGTCTGTTCTATTGACGTTTCTCCGAGTTGAGGGTAAGTTCTTTAAAAGTGAAGGCTCCCTGGGAGCACGTTGCAGAGCTTGCCGTGCACACAGTAGGGCTGACTGAACAGCATCCCCTGAATCGTGGTCGATGCAGCTATTTTTAAATTCTGGCCTCAGTTGACCTGGATTCTGTTCTCTCTTGTCCTCTATCTTGAATCCAGGCCAGCATCTGGGAAAATAGTTTAAACGACAGCGAGTGAACAGGGGGTTGGGACGTTCTCCCATCAGCTGTGTATGGAACTGTCTACGGCTGTAAACAGACTTGCTTGGAGGCCCTCGTGGGATGAGCTGAGCCTGGGAGGAGGGTGGGGGAGGGTGGTCGAAACCCAGGAGTGTCCTGATGGGCCTGGGGCTCTGCATCTCTGGACGCTCACTGCAGACCCCTCTAATGGGGATGCTGTAAAGGATGCTGATGTTTTCATGTTGGGGAATACTGAATTTTTATGCAGCATTTCAAGAGGATGGATCTGCTGCTCTCCCTTGGAATCCCCAAATACATGAACGCATTTCTTTGGGAGTTTGCAGTGAATTTTAATGAACACAGTCATGCTGGGAATAAAACAGAAAAGGTGGTGCCTGATGCCCAGGGGAATCTAATACTGATTATTTTTGAAAGCAGAAGGGAATTGGACTACAAAAAAAAAAAAATCAGCAAACACATTTAAAATGGAGTTAGAAAGAGCTGGCAGAAGAACTATGAGGAGTATTAATAAAGTGATGAGTTTGAGCCGAGTCATGGAAAGGTCAGAAATGTTTTCCTTAAGGTTGTGGATCCATCCATAGTGACTTTAATTAAGAATAATAGGGTTGGAACACCTCTGCTCTTATCCCTGAGTCATTACCACCCCAGGTGGAGAGACCCCTTCTTTAAGGACTTGAACAGAAAGCTAAAGTGATGAAGACCTGATTTTTACATTTCTCCAGTACCAAACGTGTGGGGACAGGAGAAGGTGACAAGAAAGATCTCTTACTGCTCAAGGCACTTGCTCATGCAGTTTTGGAGCCATTCAGTACTTATTGATCACGTAAGGAAGCTGCTACTGGATTTCCAGCTTTCCTCCTGCATTAATTTTAGACAAATAATATCCATCAAAGAGCTTGTCATTCTTGCTTGGATGTAAGTATATGACAGTTTAGCAGAGTTTGGGACCCATGACAGAAGCTAGTCATGGAACATGGAGCTTCTTTTTAAAAAAATCTAAAAAAGAGTTGTTTTATTTACTTGTTGATTTTTGGCTGCGCTGAGTCTTCACTGTTGCCTAGGCTTTTCTCTAGTTGTGGTGCATGGGCTCTCATTGCGCAGCTTCTGTTGTTATGGGGCTTGGGCTTTAGGGTGCAGAGGCTTCAGAAGTGGCGGCCCGCAGGCTCTGGAGCACAGGTGTGGTAGTTGCATTGTACCAGCTCACCAGCTACAAGGCATGTGGGACCTTCCAGGACCAGGGGTTGAATCTGTGTCTCCTACATTGGCAAGTGGATTCTTTACCACCGAGCCATTCCAGTTCAGTTCAGTTGTGTGACCCCATGGACTGCAGCGCAGCAGGCCTCCCTGTCCATCCCCAACTCCCAGAGTTCACTGAGCCACTAGGGAAACCCTAAAAATGCTTTTTTGATATAGGCTAGAATGTTTATTTTGCTCTGGGGGTGGTATTAATGTAACGCAACAAAATATCTTCTTATTAAGAACATCCTTCTTATTCTCACTTCCACATTTGTTCACATGCTTCATACTATGTGGCCAATGTCCACATGACCATGATCGATTTCAGACATGCCCTCCATATTCCCAGTCTTTACAATGTGACCTTGCCACTTGATCCAACAGTGGGCAGAGTCTGATCCCCTAAACCCCTCACCTTACCTCTGGGCTGCTCTTGGGATTTGCTTTGGACAACAGAGGCAAAGGTGCCAGTTCTCTCTGTCTCTTGGAAGCGAGCCCAGGTTGGCCTGCATCAGGATGGAGAGACCACGTGGAGCAGAGCCGAGCCATCTCGGCCAATGTCATAGCTGATCCAGATGCGTGTGTGACTCCCGTCAAGACTGGGAGGATTGTCTACAGCAGTCCAACTCAATTTGCTGACTGCTGAACTTTGGAGAACTTTGTTATGCAGCAAAAGTTAGCTAATAACCTCTCTCTAACCTAAGGGATGTTCTTCTGATAATCTATCAAGAACTCCTAAAAAAAAAAGTGACTCTCATTGTAGAGTCACCATCATAAAGATTGGTACTTCTTTTGGAAGCTTTACCATTTCATTACTTTAAAAAAAAAATTAAGGTAAATAGTTACATCACCTTTGTCAGACTGTGAACATGGTCAGTTAAAGCCTCTTCATTTCCAGTCACCCACCTCTCAGTTCTAAGTCTTCTTTGCAGCTGGGGAAGGACCATGGGACATAAAGTGGAAGTCAGTCAAGGAGTTCTTTCCTAGGTTGTGGAATTCTAGTTGAGCTATTTAAAATTCTAAAAGATGATGCTGTTAAAGTGCTGCACTCAGTCTGTCAACAAGTTTGGAAAACTCAGCAGTGGCCACAGGACTGGAAGAGATCAGTTTTCATTCCAATCCCAAAGAAGGGCAAGGCCAAAGAATGTTCAAAATACCATACAATTGTGCTCATTCCCCATGTTAGCAAGATAATGCTCAAAACCCTTCAAGCTAGACTTCAGCAGAATGTGAACTGAGAACTTCCAGATGTACAAGCTGAATTTACAAAAGGCAGAGGAACCAGAGATCAAATTTCCAACATCTGTTGGGTCATAGAGAAAGCAAGGGAATTCCAGAAAATAATGTCTACTTCTGCTACATGGACTACAGTAAAGCTTTTGTGTGGATCATGACAAACCGTGGAAAATTCTTCAAGAGATGGGAATACCAGACCACCTTACCTGCCTCTGGAGAAACCTGTATGCAGGTCAGGAAGCAACAGTTAGAACTAGACATGGAACAAGGGACTGGTTCAAAATTGGGAAAGGAGTACATTAAGGCTGTATATTGTCACACTGCTTCTTTAAATTCTATGCAGAGTACGTCATGAGAAATGCTGAGCTGGATGAATCAAGCTTGCTGAGAGAAATATCAATAACCTCAGGTATGCAGATGACACCACCCTTACGGCAGAAAGTGAAGAAGAACTAAAGGGCATCTTGATGAAGGTCAAAGAGGAGAGTGAAAAAGCTGGCTTAAAACTCAACATTCAGAAAACTAAGATCATGGCATCTGGTCCCATCACTTCATGGCAAATAGATGGGGGAAAAAGCAGAAACAAAGACAAATTTTATTTTCTCAGGCTCCAAAATCACTGCAGATGGTGACTGCAGCCATGAAATTAAAAGGTGCACTTTGGAGGGAAAGCTATGACAAACACAGAGAGCATATTAAAAAGCAGAGACATCACTTTGCTGACAAAGGTCCATATAGTCAAAGCTATGGGTTTTCCCACATGTACGGATGGGAGAGTTGGACCATAAAGAAGTCTGAGCACCTAAGAACTGATGATTCTGAACTGTGGTGTTGGAGAAGACTCTTGAGAGTCCCTTGGACACCAAGGAGATCCAACCAGTCCATCCTAAAGGAGATCAGTCCTGAACTTTCATTGGAAGAGTCAATGTTGAAGCTGAAACTCCAATAATTTGGCCACTTACTGCAAAGAGCTGACTCATTGGAAAAGACCCTGATGCTGGGAAAGACTGAAGGCAAGATGAGAAGAGGTCGACAGAGGATGAGTTGGTTGGATGGCATCACCGACTCAATGGGCCCGAGTTTGTGAAAACTCTGGGAGATAGTGAAGGACAGGGAAATCTGGTGTGCTTCAGTCCATTGGGTCCCAAAGACTCAGACATGACTTAGTGACTGAACAACAACAAAAATATTTTTTTGCACTCCTTTCTTCTTTCTATTAGAATTGCAATGCCTAGATTATGTCAACCACATTTACCCCTTACTATGCACTGAACTGTATTCCCCTATAACTCATGTTGAACTTTTAAGTCCTAATCTGATTATATTTGAATACAGGGCTTTTTTGAGATTAATTGAGGTTAATGAAGTCGTAACAGTGGGGATCTTAATATGACTGGATTAATGACTTTTAAGAACAAGAAGTGAGATCTCTCTACTGTACACGTATCAAAAAAAGACCACATGAATTCCAAAGAAGGTGACTCTAAACCAGGAGGAGAGCCCAGCCCAGAAACCAAGCCTGCTGGCACCCTGGTCTCAGACTTCATGCCTCCAGAATTGTGCAAGCGTGCATGGTAAGTCACTTTAGTCATGTCTGACTCTTTGCAACCCATGGACCGTAGCCCACCAGGCTCCTCTGTCCATGGGACTTCCCAGGCAAGAATACTGGAGTGGGTTGCCATGTCATCCTCCAGGGGATCTTCTCAACTCAGGGATCAAAACCGCATCTCTTATGTCTCCTACATTGGGATGCAAGTTCTTTTCCACTAGCACCACTTGAGAAGACAGGCGTGTTCTCTGGAACTGTGAGAACATACATACATTCCTGTTGTTTAAGCCACTCTGTCTAGATATTTTGTTCTGACAGCCAGAACAGATTAAGATGCCCCATAAGATGACAAGATTGAGGATGAGAGGTTTACTTTTGAAGATGGGCAGAGAAGAAAAGAAAAGCCCAGGTGTCTGGGTGGCAACTTTGGATGACGGAACCAACTCCCACTACCTATTTCATATTATGTGACAGAAGCATACGCCCTCCTGTGGGTTATCCACAGTTCATCAGATTCTCTGTTGTTACAGCCAGAGGTGTCCTGAGTGATGCAGGTAGACACAACCTGAGGTGTCTTGGGTCCCTTTGGGCACATATGCATTTATTTGTGGTCCAAGTGGAAGACTAGTAGTTCTAAACACCTGTACAGCCCTCATGAACCACCACAAATCCAGGTGTGTGAGTGATGGAGTGGGAGAAGGGCTGGAGGTCAAACCAGGGTGGGGAAGGACCATCCCAAGGTTCTGGTGACTGTGGGAGGGACTGCAGTCACATCTCGACTGTGACCAGTCTAGTCTTTACATCTCTGACAACTGCGTTTAAAATCTCTCTCTTTGTGACTTCTTGGGGCACCAGGCTGTGACTCCTTGACTTGTGATTAGCATGTCTTCTTCTGCTTTGATGGCACCAGGGAGAAGATATCAATTCATGAGACGTTCCCGTCAAATGGAAATGGGAAAGGAGTAAGGAGGGAGTGGAGCCTGTCTGCTGTTTAACGCCCCACCAACCTGAGAAACAATGACTAGCATCGGTTGTTGCCTTCTTTTTCGCCAGGCAGCATCACTGAGTATTTTACAAGTATTCCCTTCAGTCAGTTCAGTTCAGTTCAGTCGCTCAGTCGTGTCCAACTCTTTGTGACCCCATGGACTGCAGCATGCCAGGCCTCCCTGTCCATCACCAACTCCTGGAGTTTATCCAAACTCATGTCCATTGAGTCGGTGATGCCATCC